TATGTGGTGCACTCATCAGATTTTTTTTAATTTGTCTGATATTTCAGGCAACTGAATATGGAATATGTTGCATATCTAGAAATAAAACCAATTTTTATTTTAAATATAAAACAATAAAACTAATGATGAAAAAACACTAAATCTAATAATTTTAAGAATATATATTTGGTTGAAATATAAGATTTTTACAAGAAGATTAAAAAAAGCTGTCTATTAAAATCTTATATTTGCATTTGGTTTAATCCACATTTCCTTCTATGACTGCTACATTTGAATAAAATAAGGAAAAAAAAAAAAATTAGACTTTTGAAACTGTCCATAAAGAAAATGGTTGTAAAATCCAGAATTTAATCATTGTAGCAGTAATTTCACTTAAGTTTAAATCTGTATTCCTACATAACAGTTTTCAGGAAATCATTTTTATTTATTTATTTTTTCTGTAGCTGGAAAACAGTTGAACTTTTTTTTGGGAGGGAGCTCCTATAGAAGAGAGACCTGTGTCTGATACTCTCAAAATCAGTAGTATTACTGAGAATTTATATGCCAAGTTTATTTATTTAAATATGTCTTCAGTTTTCTTGGTAGATGAATGATATTTTTAAGTTTATCTTAAATAAACCTGTTTCAAATCCCATCATTGACAGCCATCCATGTAGCTCTACACAAACTATTTTCTTCATTTCATTTTGTAGAGTTTTCTAGAAATGCACTTATTCAAAATAACATTTGCATTTGGTTTTGATTCTTCATAGGAAGAAATTTCAGAGTACCATAGAAATTCGTTTTGCAGTGTATTTAATGAACCCAAAGCAAGTAGAAGCTGACAGTTAAATGTTTTTAATTTGTGGCGTTATTTGATTATTATTATTAAATTAATCAGATTATATATTAGAAGCATTGATAAAGCTTTCTTTCATAATATCTGCATCAGCTAATAGTTTCTCATGTTTTCCAAGTGTGAAGTTAATTACTTGTGACTGCTGTGTCGTGTGGAATTGCCAAAATTAGATTTTATTGTTGCAAAGATTTTTCTCTTTATGGATCTATGAGCAAAATTGTCATTAAATGATTTATCTTTCATAATATGATAACCAGTGTTATATATATTTATATATATATTTTTAATCTGAGACACTTTTATGACAGAGCAGACTGTTCGACAGTATTCTTAAAAAAAAAAAAAAAAAAAAAAAAAAAACAACTCTTTACATTTGTCTTGAAATAATACATTTTTTGTCAGCTAGGTTCCCCCCCCATTTCTTTTAAGTTGTTACAGTTGTTATGGATAATAAGATTCTATAAATAGATACTTGAAAATAAAATAATTGAAACAAACTGCAATACATGAATGGAAATATAAAACTAATAACAGTGCATTGTTAGTTCAAGTCATGCATATGTGATTACATATCTATGTATAACATTTGGCAGAGACTGGTATTTTTAATATCTGTATATGAGACACATGAAACTTAAAATTTTACGACATTGCAGATTATCCCCAATTTTGTCGGTACCGCTAATCCATTTCATGCCATATATATATATACATATAAGCTTACTGAGCCATATGCAAGCTGTGGGTTCCTTTGAGAATATTTAACTAAATTTTAAGCAGTTCGTTCTGTAAGATACTTAGTCAGACATTAATTATACAATGCAGTAACATATGATAAGAGTAGACTTATGTATGTGTAAATTCTTTAAAAGAAGAGGAGAACTCAGAACTTGACCTAAAAGCAATTTATCATATGAGATTTTGAAGTAGTACATGTCCAAAATTGTTTTTACATTCAGGAAATTGTGGATTTTTTCAGAAAACTCTGAACTATAATTCTTTTAATTTGTGTAGAATGATCCATAAGATTATAACATATAAATACAAAGAGAAAAGTTTAAGAGCTCCTTATAGGATATGAAACTGAGCATGAAAGAATGAAAATGTTGCAAGGAGATTTCAGGGGGCAGGGGAAAATAATTTCTAAAAAAATTAAGACCTATATTTCTAGGGGGGGGGAGAGTAACTAGGTGCAGCTGCTTTTCTGTGTTAATGCCGTAAGTAGTTCTGTATTAAGATCAAAGGATCATGCTGCCCACAATATTCTTTTAGTGTTTGAACTTCTAAAGGATTCATCTACAAAGTTTGTTGAATGTGGGCAAGTGTTATCATCCATAGATAAAAAAAAAAGGCAGATTCATGTATGCATCTGAAAAGTCTTATATAAGGTTACCTTATTCTAATATTTTTGCCCAGCCACATATCTGCTGTTGAAATCATGTACCATCAATCATTATTAACAATATCACACCTGATTACCCAAACAGTCACATTCCATACTGTTTGAAGGAAGATTTTACATTCCTGCAAATGTGAATATCTTCTGAATTAGATGTTAAACTAAACCTCAACAAGTCAGTAAAGGGAACACTGATGTTCACTCCAGTTCTGATGTTTTTGCACCAATTAAAGTGATCCCATTTTTGTTATGAAAGCAGTAAAACACATACCCTTGACTTATGATGTAAAGGCCTTTTCATTAAGCCATCTGTTTATGCTGCTACAACAGGTGCAGTGACATCTGCAAGTTCTGAACTTAACTACCTTCCTGTTGCAATGTGCAATCGTAGCCATGTACCATGAAATCATAGCCATGTATATGAAATGAATTCATAAACTGTGTGCTGAACTACAAACTGTACTATGAATGAACTTATAAACTGCGAACCATGTAACAAAAAACAAACAAACAACGAACCACGTACCATAATCACTCCCACCACCAACAAAGCTCCAAACTGAAACACAAAAGAAATATGCATATATATCTGTAAATAACTTATTGTATTTATTCATGCAACTGCAAAGTACCCGTGCAAAGTATCTATATCGTAGTCAATATTATCTGTAATGCAAATTATGCATCATTAATATGTAACTATTATGAATGCTGCAATATGAACAAGTGCCCGAGCATGGCGTTAGATTGCCCTGTGAGTGTGCAGTGTGCACTTCCATAGATGGTTAGTGCAAAGGGACAATACCACTTTTGCCTGCCCAAGGCGATGTTTGGTGCCCCTGTACTTCTTTCTTTCTGTCTCTCTGTACAATCATAGCCAGATATTGGTCTTAGAAGTAATTGTTATTCATTTGTGACATTATTCAAGCCACATTACAACAGTTCCAAAATTCTGAAATTGTTTCTGTATTATAAAGATTGTGTATGCTTTCCATGATTGCCTGCCCTGCTCTTAACAACTGATTATTCCCACATCCCAGATTCCTGTGAATGATATTTCGTTGCATTAACAAAGCATTTTGTGTCCTTACATACTGAAATTAGACATATTGCAGAATTACTTACGATATTCACTTTGCACAAAGCTCTTCCTTCACTATCAGATGCTTTAGCATCTTGATTTGCGTATCAGAAATTGTTTGAACACTTTTGAATGGATAATGCTAATTAGCTTATGTGTTTAACATATTTCCTGAAAAATGGATTGCATCAATTGGATATTTCATGGAATACCGTTATTTTGTGTATGTAGAGACAAATTTTGATGTAAGTGTACTTGAGAGTTGGAGAAAATAAATAGACAATTATGGAGATCACTGTTAAATGGGTTTAAAGATTAATTTTTATTACAAACAAGTGCAAACATTTTTTTTGGTGTGTATATGTTACAATAAATATGAACTCATTGTTTAATTTTGTAGAGACATTAGGTATTTTTTGGAGGCCGGAGAGATGAAAAATTAACAAACGCCTTCGCTGGGAATCGAACCACGGAATACCAACCCAACATGCAGAACCACTACACCATGAAGGCATGCTAGGAAGGCGAGAGGAATACCTTATATACTTCCTCTTTTAAAGGGCGACTGGGGTTTTTAAGGGACCCAATCGCCAAATCCTAGGTGAGAAGTATCATCCAACACCCTTTTAGTTCGGGCGCCACTACACTGCACTGACCTACTGAGCAACTTCCGACCTAAGTTAGCCTAAAGGCAACAAACGGAATATGTTGCTCAGAGGTAAAACCATCTACTATCTACTGGCCACAACCTTAGGTCGGGGCCACGGGCATTAATTGTCAACGTCAAATTTCAGAGTTTACATTTGTACAATATACAGAGTTATTTGGATGTATTGCATACGTTGAAGAAATAGTTGTAGAGACATTATTTATTTTTTGGAGGCCGGAGAGATGAAATATTAGCAAACTTATTTTGCCGTTAATCGAACCACTCTGGAATACCGACCTAGCGTACAGAACCGCTACACCACAAAGGCACGTTAGGAAGGCGGGAGGAATACCTTATAATTTAATCAAAAAAGAAATTAAATGTTTACATTAAATTGTTCAATTATATATAAAAAATGTTGTATACCTTAATAACCTGACACCCATAAGTCAGCATAATTTGCATATTCCATGATGTTTTGGCTTCATGGAATTTTGACTGAGTTTTCATTGTAGTTTAGTAGTTTTGAACTTCAGAGTGGGTAATCATCATAGATTATGTACTAGTAAATGCTAAAATTGCATATGTGTACAAAATATAGTTATTTGATTATTGTATGTCATAGGTTAGAAGTTCTGTTCAAAATTCTCTGAAAAGCGAGGTGATAAAGTAAATAAGATTTTTTTAAAAACAGCCATGAGGTATCTGATGCAGTTATCTATATTAAATTTGATCTCGGCACTTAGTAGTAACCATTCTTGGAAAGAGGAAGCTATAGGAATGTTTGCTGTATGTTTAATAGAAATTTAAAAAAATAAAAAATTCCAGAAACATTCTGCAGTTTTTTACTTTCCATTATCTTGAAAATGAACTGGGTTGGCTGAATGTAAGTTCTTGGATAGCATTTTTATGTTCATCTTTCTTAGAACTTAACTGTTTAATTTGTTTATTTTATTGTTAGAATAATTTTAAAATTCAGATTTACATTGCTTTTCAGCATAAAATTGAAGAAACAAAAATTATTTTATTGCAGGCTCTTGTTCAAAAAATACATAAAGAAATAAGTGAACTTGTAACTTTAAAGTACCGAACTCAAGAGCAACAACGAACTCTTAATCATCTGCTGGCTTTTCAACAAAAATATACAGGGCAAAATAGAAGTGGCAAAGGATGTCGAGCTAATCAGAATCAGGTATAGATAATAAGTTTACTTCTAAAAAATTATATCATAAACTTTGATGAATCTCGTATTTTTACTTTTAATTACATAAAATATCATTTTAATTTTTAATATTGTTAATAAATTGAGTTGTTCTGTTTTTGTTTAAAAAATAATTTTAGGTACGAGCTGAGGAAGTTGATCGACTTATACAACAAAGGCCTCAGAATAATCCAACATCAGTAGTTAATGAACCATCACCACATTTGCAGCTGAAAACACCAGTCTTGGCAACACAGCAATCTGTTCAACACGAGAAACAACAAAATGTGACAAATTCAAAAGTTGTTGCTTCTCACAATGTACATTTAGTAAATCTTTTGAAAAAAGGTCCACATCATAATGTAAGTTATTTTTTACTTTTTCATTTTGGGCTTGTGTTTTGAAATTCTGAGGGTTCATATGTTGCAATTTCATTTAAATTGTATAGAAAACAGCTACTTTCTGTTCTTGGGGGGGAGTTGAATCAGTTTTATTTTTAAACTAGCAGCTTCGCTGTCAGCCTTCGTTCGGCTGTTAAATACCTTAAAAATGGCTGAAGGGAACACCAAACGTTAAATTTAAAAACTGCGTAGAATTTTACTCTGCAGAACAACTTCATAAAAAAAGTTATTACGTATAACAAAATTACAATGAAATAAGCCATATCCCTTAATACAAATATTAATTATCCTAATAAATAAATTAACCAACTTCCCTTTGCAAAATCTTAAGAACTCAAATGGTATAAAGGAGGTTAAGAACTTTGTTTCCTAAAAAAATCACTCAAAACTTTTCAATATCTTAAAGACAGTGAAATGAGCAATAAATAACATAAAAGAATACAAAAAGCAAGAAATTCTGAAAAGCAGAGTATAGTTAATGATATTTTATCTTATATTTTCAAGAGAAAAAAATTGCAATGAAATAAGCTATAAACCTTAATACAAATATTAATTATCCTAATAAAAAAATTAACCAACTTTCCGTTGAATAAAAAAAAAATCATGCAAAACTTTTCAATATCTTACAAACAGTGAAATAAGCAAATGATAACATGAAAGCAACTCAAAAAACAAAAAATTCCACGCAGAATTTTACTCTGCAGAACAACTTAATAATAAAAAATCAATAAAAATGTATTATATATATAAAACACAGTGACAAGAAATACGATGAAAAATTGTTGCCAAACCCATATTTCTAAAAGAATGAAACTATTCAAAATGATGCGATTTCATCAAAAATCTATCAACAACAATAAGACAGGAAATTGTTGCCAAAATCACATTTTTAAAGATGTGAGAAGTGTACTCGGAAGCTTCATTTAAAATTTTTTGTAAAAAATATAAAATATTATCATTTTTCCAAAATTGTTTTTGTGAAAGCAGTCGCAAGGATGAAAGTTTAATGTGTCCAAAAATCAAAGAAAAATAAACTATACATTTTTAAAAATTAACTTTTTTAGAAAATGTCCTGTTGAAAAGGTGTTAAGCTCCCTTTGTTAAATAAATTTGTATTTAATCGATTTATTGAAACACGAAATTTATTTTAAATTCGTAAAATAGCTAGTGCCTACGTTTCATGACGATGTGAAAATGAAGTGTGTAGAGTAAAATCTCACTTTCCTATAGCCCATTATGTCTCAAAATGACGCAATTTCGTCACAAAACATAAAATAAAAAAAATTCTAATTCAAATTTTGAAAAAATCGCTTCGAGGTGCACTGGCTCTTGTACCAAATTTCGTAGCCGTGGGTCTATTAGCTTACGCGCAGCACGAACGAAAGACACACACATACAGACAGATTCTTTCTTTTATTATATGTTGAGATGCATTACTGTTCTTATACTGATGTTTAATTATTTTTATTATTAACTGAGTATGGATCTTTACAACACTTGCAATTATTTTTCAAGTTTCTTTTAAGATTGGCAAGAAAATTATACTGGTGCTTTTCTGAGTTATTAGCAGTAAATGCATTAACTGGTTGTATCATTCTGAATATACTACCTTTCCTTAAAAAGAAGGAAGTATATTTGCATGTTTATTATTCATGTAATTGTTTTTTTAAGTAATAATAAGATATTAAAATTTGTATAAGATATTAAAATGTAATATGATATTAAAGTATAACAAGATATTAAAATTTGTCATAATTTTATTTTACTGTTCAAAATTATATGTTATATATGATTACATTATGTACTATTATTTATTAATGTATGCATAAAAATGGTACACAAAATCAAATTTTCAAGAAAATTTTAAATTGTTGAATTTAGAAAAAAAAACTTAAAAATTTTTGTTTGCTTATAACTTTTCTTTATAAAAATGAATTGTTTGTGCATCCAGCCGCCTAAAATAATTATAGAAATAAAAAATGTATATAAGGATTTTAATGAGTTTGTTAATAAGAGAAATGAAGTTTTGAATTTATTTCTTTTAAAATCACTTAATTTGTTAAAAGTTGCATGCTTCTTTAAATTGTCGAGTTTGTTGTTTAAATTTGAAAGACAAATATTTTATGCTTTTTTAAATGACAACAATTTTATGCTTTTTTAAGTGACAACAATTTTATGCTTTTTTAAGTGACAAATTCTTTTAAATCACTAAATTTGGTAATCAAGTTTTCCATAAGGTTGCACAAAACGTTAAAAAAAAAAAAAAATAAATAAATAAAATTGCAAACTTAGGCAAAGTGCATGTTTCAGTGGAGAGCTATACGTGTTCAAAATTTGGCGAGTCTAGATTTTTAATTTTAGGTAAGTGTACTGTTTTTTCATAATGTAAAAAGCAAATGTACATATGTACATACATATAGATTTTTCATTATATACAGATTAATAGCTTCATTTGGTGCTAATTAGTGTAGCACGTTTTATTTAATGAAATATATCATTAAAAACTTAATGATATATTTCATTAAATAAACGTATAAATAAAAATAAGCCTAATAAATACCGCATTATATAAATACTCGTTTATCCTATTGATTGAAATTTAACGTGATGAAAAAATAAATTGGAAAGAAATAAACATAAGAAAAATTAAATGAATGTCTATGCCTCTATATTTATTCAGATCGTTCTATGCAGTATAAATGACAAACTTTGTTAGGCCCCAACTTGTTTCTCAATTTACTGTGCATCAGATTGAATTTTGAAAAGATACTTGTGCTTTATTTGTGATCTGTTTTCATATTTTAGAAAATGTGTATTAATGTTTGATTATTAATTGGTGACTTGAAAAATTCATGTGATTAAAATCAAGATAATCTTGATCACCTTATTGCAGGCATTGTCATTTTGATGGAAGAACTTCAGTATAATTTAAATCATCATCATCTCTCCCTCTTTTTTTTAGGCTCCAGTAAAGCACATTGCTCCTGCAACTACATCCATAACTGCAATATGTGACAGTACAACAACGGTTCCCAATGTTACAGTAACAACTCACCAACGCGTATGTTGATTTATACATAATAGTTACAGATATACACATTAAAAAAAATATTTCCTTTTTAAAACTCACGAAATCATGTTTTTTAAGTTAAAAATACTGCACAAAAAGAAAATTTTCTTTATTCTTAATGTTCATTTTTAAGTTCTGCCCACCTTTGAATGTTTGTAAATGAATTTTGATTTGTTTATTTTATTCACAAGGAAATGATATAAAATAAAGTTGTAGCAGGCATCCAAAGAATTGGAAGAGCAATAAGATAGTTGTATTATTCCTTCAGTAATTTACAAATTTGTTTAATAACTCAAATCATAAAAAAATCAATGGAATTTTTGTGGTATTAATTAGCTATGAAAGAATTTTCTCTTATATATTAATGTATTGAGTTTTTAAATTATCTTTCTCTTTTGATTATAGTGAAAGCAAACGTTATTGTTCAAATTGCTTTAAAAATTTTTGTTCAACTTTGCAGCCTGCTTGTACATAAGTGTTTTGAATAGGAAATAGACTTCTATACCTTGTATTGTTCATAATGGGGAGTCCTTTTCCCTAATGAAAGGTAACTGTCTTCTGCCTTATCTCTTGATGCCATTAGATTCTTCCTGAGACTCGCAGGACCTTTATCTCTCGAAAGAATTGTCCAGTGCAATTTGATTTGCTCTTCATTTAAAAATGTTTCTAAAGTGAGACATGGCATTTTCAATGAAGATGCTTGCTACTGCTTTCTCAAGATGGATGATTCCATTAAACCTGCCAACTTGCACGGTAATCATTATGGCTCCTAATTACATGAAGAATCTGACAACCCCCCCCCCCCCACTGACCTGTTGGAGGAACCAACCAAAATATTGTCAAGAACCTGCTGTCAGATTCTGGACTTCATAAACTCATCAGTAACATCATAGATATTACTAGTGCAAGAAGGCCATTTCATATAAGGTGAAAATTGCACATCTTTTGGGGAAATAATGGAAATAGGCTGAATTTGGACCCTTTACTTGAAGATTAATTATTGAAGAACTGCCTAGTTCGACTGAAATAAAAATGTGGTTTATCAACTAAATTTCAAATAAAATCTATCAAAAGTAAGATGATTTGGGAGGATCTACATTGTGACTTTCTCCACGTATGAAATTTTGTGAAGTGTGATATTTTCACAATAGAGCTTGACAAATAAGGCATTTAAAGCATTATTACTGTTCTTCCCGAATATTATAAAACTGCACCAATAAAGAAAGTTTTCAAGTATTATAAAATTGCAGTAATAGAATTGTAATTAGCCGTGTTTGATTTTATCTTGTTTTAAATGAAATTTCTTGTTTGTTGGAAAAAATAATTATGATAGTAATAATAACTGTTAATGTAATTTCTAGGTTAACCAAGTTATCACTCCAAATCAGCAGAGGCTACCAACTGCGCATGGACAGTGTAACAAACAAACAAATGAAGTAGCACAGGTATTAGATTTAATTTCATTAAAAATAGCATTTTATTTTCTAGATTATTAAAAGCAAAATGCATAATAATTTAAAAGTATATTAACAGTGATTGTACAATTTTTGCTATGTATATTTTGTGTGCTTCCTAAGAATGCTATCACCTTTTGAAGCAAAATAAATTTACTTATAAGTAAAATTGTATTTAGTGTATAAACATTCTTTAAGTCATCAGAAGTTTTACACAAATTTTTCATTTAATCCGAGTTTATATAAATGCTTAATATAACATGTGCAATTAAACACAGTGAAGTTGACGTAAGGTAGGTTTAAAAAAGTTTAATTATTGATTTCACAAAGAAAACGTTAAAAAAAATGCAGGTTGAAAAATTGATACCGAAATGCATTTAGTCAAACACTAATATCAACTGCTTGAAATCCAAAATAAGATTTATAAGATGTTTAACTATAACATATTGTTTCGAAAGTAGCAACATTAATAATTTATATGTTGATATACCATAAGTTACCATATTAATAATAAATATGTCTCATTAATTTTTGTGAAGCATATCCAGTAGTTGATTTAAAATATATTTGTGTACAAAATCAAACATTCGTATTTGATATATATTTATTGATAAAAAACTCTGTGAAAATAAATGTTTGATGTTAAAATAAATGTTTGTCTGTGAAAATAAATGTTGCGCGCGTTGAAAGAAATGTTTAATAAAGTAAACAAATAAATATTAAGCTTTTTTTTTTTAATTTTAATTTTGATACCCTTTAGATCATAAATTGCTCTTTATTTCATAAATTACGGTTTCATATTTTTAATTTTATAATTTCTGCATGCCATCTTACCAGATTTAAACTGATTATCTATAATCCGGAATCGCCGAAGTCCCGACTAGTCCGGATTAAAGACTTTTGACTGTACATGAAAGTTAGAGCCAGTTTTAATGGCAACAGTTTGCTTGTTTAGGGAGGAATGATGTTAAAATACTGCACCGAAATGTGTATTTTTTGGTGGATGTTTTTGTTACTGAAAAGTATGTAGTGATTTCTGTATCTACAACAGAAGTTTTGTAACTGGATAGAGATATGTGCATTTTCAGAAGAGGTCTATACTTGAGTAGCATTCCCTAAAGTTGCTTTTAAGAAGATGTAGTTATATAATTCTTGTTGTTTGAATTGATCTTCTAGACATATTTGAATGTGATGCTGTGATTTGGCTAGAATACTTACTGCTGTTGAAGATGTCAAAACTGTTTTAAAATGTGTATTTGTGACATGTAAATTCTGTATTCAATCTCTGCTTTACCTTCACAGAAAGAGGATTATTGTACAGGATTTAATTCATAATCTGATTAATTTCACTCTCGCACACACCCACAGGAAAATTACGGCAGAGAGGGAGGAATACAGTGTCAAGTAATGGTAATAATTTCATGCTGTAAATTTGTTCAGTATGAAGACAACATTAAAGGTTTTAACATATGACACAGTTTTTCGTACAGCACTTTGAAATTCATAGTATGATCAGTTTTGCTTTTGCATAACATCTTTATTGACAAATAGATTTGAATCACTATTGCCAGTTATACTTTTTTAAAATACAAGTTTTCGAGCATAAAAGTTCTTGAAAGTTACTGGGATTTTTTTTAATCATAAAGCTCATCAAGAATAATAAATATTTAAGTGCATACAGTGTGCTAAATAGTAGTGTCTTAAATTCCAGTATTAATCTGTGAAAGGTAAAAATAGTGATTGTAAAATTATTGCTGAACTAATTGAAACTGAATCTTTTTTGCTTAAAGTCCTATATATATCCCGGTATAAAATAAAATGCACTGTTTTGAGTATTTTTCATTCAGATTTTTCTAATTCAGGAAATAAGTCCATTTTAATATGTATTTTGCATTAAAACACTTTCCAGCAGTTCGCTAAAGACATTTTTACATTTAGCATGAGAAGTAAATCAGGAATTTTTCAGTGATAGAAGCTAAAAATAGTTTTAGTTTAGTTTTGAGATGGTTTTTAAAAAGTCTTGGCTTGTGGAATATGCTACCTATATTTTTCTTTTATTCATATGGCTCTCTTTTTTTATTTTGCAATAGCTACAAAATTTGCTTTTCCTATTTTTTAAATTTTAATATTGGCTGACAAAAACTTACTTAAGTACAACAAATGTGTTTGATCTATTGAGTGCTTTCTGCTTTTACAAATTATTACATTCAAACTGATTTGTAATTGTTTACTCTTAGCAACAGGTAATAGTGCGGATGCCGAAACCTCAGCAGCAAACTGGCCAGGCATGTCCCAATATTGTCCAGTTGAAAGTAAAATATATTTTTATTATCCTGTATATTTTTATTTATTAGTTATTATTACTATTAATTTGAAAGAATTCTTTTAAACTTATATTTATTCACAGGCCCCACCACCACCACCACCACCACCGCCGCCTCCTGCAGTTAAGAGAGTTGTAAACACTGTACCTAGAACTGTTTTGTAAGTACTTTTTTAATAAATAGGCCTTTATTTTCATATTCTTTACTGTACATTAAAGATCATTGTAATTAACTGTGTTGGTATTGCTGTGTTTTTCGTTTGAACTCTTGTCCAAGTGAGGTGATTTATGGTTTAAAAAAACGCACATTTTAATCTTTTTTGCTAAAAAATGTATTTTAGTGCTTAATTTATTTCACATTTTTAATGGAACTTCCACTAATGGAAAAGCCTTCTGATTTGAATCTGGCATAACATTATTAAAGCATTGAGATATCTCCATATCTGATATTACAGAATTCTTTATTGAGACATTGTTTTAAGGAGATGTTAGATTTCTCTGCAAAATCATCAGAATTGCATTATATAGATAGTTACTGCTTGATAAGTCTTTTGCCACTTTTCAAAACTTCCCCACAGCTTTCAAACAATCTTTAGAATTTTGTGTGCAGCTAATAATTTTTCCACTAAAACAACAAGGAATAGTGAATCAGATTTTAGAGTTTAAACATAATTGCTATCTTCAGTTGGCTAGGTTCCATCAAATATGTCTCGCAAAGATTATTGTGGTGTTTTTCTACATACCTAATCTGTTACAAGGATGAATCATTTGGATTCATCATTCATGTGCCAGTTACTAGGCCTTTTAACTGTCTTATCAGCATATCTTTTCTTAACATGGTGATGTGATGGATTGAGTTAAACTTTATAGAGATATAGAGAGTTTAGCTTCAGTATTTTGCTTTCAACCCCTCACCCCCAGTTTGGTGGATGAGTTTTATATGTCATTATTATTTACATGTTCTGCCCTGAGGCAGGGAGATGCCTTTGGGAAGGACTTTCTAAGAGAAACTGGCTTGTATTAACTCATTACACATGGGGAAAACCATGAAAACGGCTATGTAAGCAGCCCATTCAAACCTCCAACCGAAGTACCAGTGTTCAGGGACTTGGCTGCTGGTGGGCAGAGTTTTGCATGTTGCAAATGTCCCCCCCCCTCTTTGGTTATGTGAGGAAGCATGTAGGTTAGGTGATTTTATAATTTATAATATTTCATTGGCCTACTTTATGAGTTGCAGGATTTTGTGGTATTATTTCAGCAAGTTTATGCTTAGTTCTTGATGCTCATTTTCCAAGACTTTTTGCAAACAAGGGAAAACTCTTAATTATTCTTAAATCCTTTTCTAGTATATCCTACACGTTGTCAATTGGATTAAGGTCAAGGCTTTGTGATGACTAGAGCCATGCATGCAAATAAAATATTATGCTTCTCAAAACAATCTCACGATTTAATAAATCTTTGGAATACAGAGGGTGGTTCACACTTTAAGAAATGATTTTGATAATTAATGTTTATGCATAAAAGACATATTTCTTGCAGTGATTTGCTTCTATGATAGCCTTTATTCTCGGAATTCGAATTTTTCATGAAAGTAAACTTTTTTTTTTTTTTTTTTAGCTTTACCATGGCAATTTTATCCCACTCCTTTTGACTCTCTTTTCAAAAGTCCACTTAGTGTTCTTGGATGCCATTTTCCTAAGGCGTATATTTTAACAAACCAAAAGTGTTAAAGTCCATAGGAGAAGTGCCAAGTAATTCTACAGATATTTTATTAGATCAGATTCATTATATTCCTGTTACTTATTCTTCTTGGCTTAACAACTTGCAGTTGACTTAGATGTTTCTGAGTCACTAACTAGAGGCTTTATCCATATGAAATTCAACTGCATTGATGTCCTTTTCATCTAAGACTGGACTTTCTTCTTCAGAAACTGGTTCTAAAACATTCTGCTGTAGTATTTTTAGCCTTATACTTCAGACTTTTTTGTGTTTTAATTTACCATACTAACAAAACCTTTCAACTATCATGAATCTGATTAAGAACTCTGCGCATTGATGAAACCATTTTATGTGGTTATTTTCATCATCTGAGTAAATAGAAATTTGATCTTTTTTTTTTTTTTATTACAGTTACTTCAATAATGCTCATGCCTGAGTGTTACAACAAATTTCCATTTATTAGCAGCTAAGTGTTTTTCATATAATTTTCTGCAATATGCTTTGCCAGAAATCTCATATCTTTATGAATTTAACTTCAGATCTTCATGAATGATTTTACTTACAGTGCCACTAAAAGCCATTCAGGCTTTTATTGGTAGGTTTATATGAGCTAACAGAGACATCTGGCACAGGTGACATTGCTTCCTGGTGCTTGGGAAGGGTTTCTTCAGTTGAAAAATCTGAACTTCACATGTATTGGAGCTAGTCGATGCATGGAACTGACTCTCTTAGCTCATATAAATCCCAATTGTGACAAAATTCCTTTTTCTTTCAGGGTCAGGAACTTTATTTCCTTGATATTAAACTGTGTTCAGTTCGTAGATGCAGTTTTGTGGATATTGTTTCTTATACTTTAAACTAGACACCTTTTCCCTTTAGATTTATTGTATTAAAAATACTTTTCTTTGAAATGCAACTTTGAAGCCTTGACTTTTGAATGACTTGTTGGGACGAATGTTTTTCCTTAAAAAGGGCATTTACGTAACCTTCTAGCTGTCTATTAACTTTAGGAGTCTTTTTCAAAATAAATCTGTTATTCTGCACAGCAATCAAGATTATTTTCATTTTTATAAAACATTATCATTAAACTGAGGATAGTTTATTATTAGTTTATTAGTTTGTTTTTAGTTTTCAAGAATATTTTTAATCTTATATTGGAATGTATGTACATAAATTTAAGAGGAAGCCTTTTAAGCCCTTACAGACTTATATATTTCTGAATTTGATTTCAAAATAAAAATAATTTTGAGAAAAGGCTAATTATAAAAATGATAGAAAATAGTTCACAGGCACTTTATTCTTACTACTGCCGCAGATTGATATTAAAAACTTTTAATTCTTTGTCATATATGTTTTGTTATATAATATGCTATGCGTTGCGTATGGCAATTAAATATGCTGTGTGTTGCACTTTTGCAAAATTACTCACACCATTTAAACATTTGAAACAATAAACCATCTTAAGTAACAATAATAATAAATTATGCATTTTGTGAGAAATTCAAGAGCAGGTCCTTAATGTATCTAAAAGAAATCATATCTTGGCTTCCTAAATACATGTATGAGTTTTCCTAAGTATTGTTTCCTTTTTCCTTGTCATTTTTAACATCTATTAATAACTTTCTTAAAGTTCAAAAATTGTTTAGAGCAATTAGAAAATTGTTTAATACATAAAATCCGAAACTGTGTCCTAGAACATGATAGAACTTAACAAAAGGGGACTTGCTTTTCATAATTTTTAAGTTTTTTTTAGGGGGGGTGTTAGTTCTTATGTCATTACTTTTGAAAATCCTCTGACCATCATCAAAATCATTAAGTTCCACGGCATTAGATCAGTTGAGCCTACAATCTAATCAACAGTATTCCTTCCTTCAAGCCAAGTATTTATTTTTCATACTTAAGAGCCTTGGATAACACATTAAACAATTTAAGAATTAAAAAAAAAAATCATGTAATGAAATAACTTTTTCCTATATATATATATGTTAAGGTATTAATATGTTTTGTATTTATAAAAATATTTAAGCTAGTTTAGGTAATAAAATTGAAAAAAAAAAATGCATATGTAGAAGTAATTAGCATAAACTTAAAATTATGTCTTCATTTATATAATATATTATATTACTAAGACAAGGCACATATTTTTTTCTTTTGTAATTTTTTGTAATTTTCTGCTTTTTCTAGCAACAAAAATTTGATTAATAGTATCTCTGTAAAACTGTTTGCCTCATTAAACTGTTAATTTTTTCAGGTTATAATTTTTTTCCTTTGTTGCATACTTGTATGAGATTTAGTTATATAAATAATTTTATATGAAAGTCTTTTAAAATTAAAATGCATTTGTTTTATGTTTAGAATAAATGAACAACTAACAAAAGATCAAAACGGTGCTCTAAATCCTGATGTAAAGACACCTTTCTCATCTATAGAAGATGCCTGCAGGAGATTGTTGCCTTTTCATGTATATAATTCTAAGGTTCCGTCAGTTGTTGAAATTGAAAAAGGTATGATTAAAATGGAATAAAAAGATAAATTTAATGCATTATTTTTGCTTCAAATGTTATGAAATCTATTTTCTCTCTAATTTTTGAAAATATATTTTTCAGCTGATGAAACTTTTAATAAGGTTGCTGTTACGCTCCTAGATAGGTTCAGACGTTTAAAAAACAAGTATCATCTTCTTCAAATTAAAGAGAGCATGGTAAGATATGTTAATATGTGTAATGTTAATTATATAATATAGTTTAATTTCTTGTGTAGTTTATGTAAAATCTGATGAAACGTGAGCACATCAGAATTATAGTTTCCACTTTTTTAATACATTTTTGCATTGAAAAATAAAAACTTTATGATGCTTAATATATGTAGGGACAGTTTTTATTAAATTCCTTATTTCTACTTGAAAAGGATTTTTATTATGATTTGTAAAAATAACATAGTTAAGAAAGTAACTTCTGAACTTCAGTGTCAGTTTAGGAAGTATGTTACATATATATGATTTCAAAAAATAGATAAGTTAAAATACTGTTTTAATTTTTAAAGTCCCTTAAAGCTCCCTTTTAATTTGGTTATTTTCCCTTGTCTGTTCTGAAAATAGGAAAAGAAAAAATGCTTATAGTAAATATCTCTGAAATGCATCATTTTAGCTAATTAACTTACTTCCAATAATAATATAACATTGTTATTGCAATTTTACACATTTATTTTAGCTTCTCTGTCCTGTTTGTATGTTTTCCACATTTTTCTAACTTCAATTACATTTTTAAAATGTGAAAGCATGATTACTTTGTCTTTGAAGAATAACCATGCTTGAGCTGTATATTCTTTAAGTGAAGAGATGTTGAATGAGATGTGAATTGCAAGTACACTTTTGTGCACCAGTTACACTATGTTCTAAGTCATCCACATTAGAATTTTCAGTTATTTAATGTAATGAAGCTTCTGATAAACATGGGGGGGGAGGATAAAATTAATATAAATTAAGATTTGATTCATTGTGAACATATTTTAAAAATTGTGAAATTGTCAGCAAGGAAAATTGCTCATTGGTGTGCTTTTACTGTGCCATAATAAAATGTGTAATTCAAAGAAAGAATCTTTTGGGGGAGGTGGAGGGGTATTCACAGCTAGTGAAAAATGTTTTCATTATTGCACTTTTTTGAAATATGTATGTGTTATAAATAATAACTTATACTAATGCACAAACATGATTTTGTTAATTGTCTGTGTTATCACTCTAGATTTTAAAATATTTTGATGGAGAACTAAAAGTTCAAAAAAGTGAAATATTTATAAATTTATTTGTGTTCAGCTTATGGTTTTCTTTAAAACTCTATTACTAGGAGGAAAGTACTTCATTAGTTAGGAGTGCATAATGAAATATTTTGCTGAGTAAATTACTGATTTATTTATTAAAATCGATTAATTTAGGATTTTGAACTATTAGAAGACACATGAATACACTTAGAAAAAATGTATATTATTCTAAACTTATCACATTGTTTCCACAAGTCCCTGAATTATTCATTGTGCTTTCATAAAATTATTAACTTTTTATGAAATTTAGCATTCTGCTGAAAGGTGCATTTGTACATAAATAAAGGAAATTATAATTCGGATAATTCGGAAAAGCTGCTTTATTCAATAAAGGGAATGGAACTTCTTTATTATATGCTTGATAAAAACATCAAATTTCATCTTAAAAAACGAACAATACTTAGAAGCTGAAAAAATACCAAACACGATGGCACATCATATAATTACCCAAATTCAGCTTTAAAAAATAAATAAATAAATCTGCCTCAATATATTAAATTAGAGTACTACTCAGGCAGGCTGGGCAAATTTTTTGAATGAGGTTATTTATAGTTGTTACAGTAGCAAAGAAGATTGATTTAATAAATTCAGGTCATCATTCTTTTCCTGCCATTATGCATGTTTGTGAAATGGGCAGCATTTACTTTCATTCCATAAATTCATAGTAGGCAATTTTACATGTTGGCCAAGCAGCTACTAGTATTTGTTGCATTATTCAAGATGTAGTAGTTTATCATATTTTTGTTGTAGATATTCAATTTCATTGTTGCCAATGTTACTGTTAAAACAGTTAAAACCAGTTACTGTTAAAACAGTTAAAACACTGTAAGATGGCTACATTGAACTGATTTCTCATATGACTATAGACACTGTACAATTCTCACAATAATTTTTATGAGAAAGGAGAAGTGTAGCTTAGGAATATAGTATTAAAAAAGGGGTTATTTAAAATGTAAACATCAGTTAGTTAAAGCTATGTAATGGTAGACATACTTAAAATGCATTGTTATAGTGCTTGCTTAGAGCTGGAAATTATCTTGTGGAAAAAAAATATATGTATGTAATAGCCAAGATACCTACACAAAATGTTAAAAGCTGTGTAGAGTAAGTTGCTTTAAAATGCATAGCCGAGAATAATTATTGAGAGAACAATAAGATGTTATTACTTTCTAATCTGTTTATTTTAAGAGTTAACAATTATTCATAGTAAGTGCTACTTTTCTAAAAGTTGAAAACAACAGGATAATGCCATTCCAATTCTTTCACCTCCCAAGGAATTTTATCTTAAAATAAATGGTGTTTATGCCAATGATTAAAAATAGTTAGTTCGATGAATATAAAAAGATTTTCTTATTTCCCGAAGTAATTAATACTTCTATTTTGTTCAGATTTTTTTGAATAGTAAAATAAGTTATGGAAATATAGCTGTGGAATAATAGCTTGAATCTGATTTACATGAAAAGTTTTTTGATTTGCGATATCTAAACTTCTGATGCAGGCAGTATAAAATGTTATGCCTGCCTTTCCTTTACTGCCCCCTTCTCCTTTGTCACTAAATTGTAATAATACGTAAAGAAGAGAAATGTGCCAGTGATATGAAATTGTGTTTTGCCACTTGTATATTGCTTTCATTCTCCATGTAGAGGGATAATATTTTCTCTTTTTGTTGTATACCTAAAAGTTGATGAATCTGAAATTATTTTTTGTGTACTTTGTTTGTTATGCATTGAAAATAACACGCAGAAGATCAAATAACATATCATGTTGTTATTGCTACAGATTACATAAATCATGTAAGTTTTGCTTTCCACTTTCCAAATATACATTGCATTTTGTGAGAGATTAAGTACAATTTTTTTCTATTGAATGTGCTTCAATATACAAGTGGGTATATTTTTACATAAGTAGTAAAAAAAATTATATATATGGTGTAGCATTTACTAAAAATATTAAAATAATATGTATTGTTTTCCTTATTGCTAAGAACTGTTAATTTGCTAAAGCAACTGGAGAAAATACAAAATATTAATATTTTTCATCTTGTCAAAGAAAAAATGTCAAAAGATTAAAAATTTTTTCCAGTTCAGTTTGTTGTGTACTGTTTCTGTGATTAAAGGTTCAATAAATTTATTGTTTTGATTGAACATGTTCTTTACTTCCTTTTATTAATGTAGCTGCCATGTGCAACACCAGATCAGGTTTTACTTGAAAGATTATTCATTGAGGACGAAGAAGCTGCCTTACGTGAAGATAAAGCATTAATTGCTGAGGGGAAAAGTAAGAATTTTACTTTTTGCTTTAAGTAAAATTAAATTTTTGTAATGTTATTTTTAATTATAAGTGAATACATAATCTTGCAAAAAAGTACTTTCTAAATTTGAATGAAATTTGTTTTCCATGCATGAAAGATTAGTATTGCTATGCAAAATTAAAACAGTGGACTAAATTGTTATGCAGTACAAAGTCCGAAATCCGGACATCCATTATCGGGAAAAATTTAAAATCTGGACCTCAAAACCACCAACAAAATTTTTCTCGTAGGCTTTACACATGTGCATTTGATTGAATTAAGAATAACTGATTTGTTATTCGCATAAACCCAGAACCAGTGCCAGGGCTCGTATGGCCGTGCCGAGTCACAGAATTTAGGACCCACAGAGACTGCTTCAGGAAGTAAGATATCTAGCGCCGGCCCTCAATAAAGCTTAAGTATATGTGAGAATTTATTTATTCAGGACTCAAGCCTTAAGCATGTGCAAGAAATAGACATAAGTATAATAAATAACTAAACTAATACAATTCAGACTTAATTGTCTCAGTGCGCGATAGAAGCAAGATAAAATTTAATGGAACAACTTGTCGTTAGTCGCCAAGCTCATGATGCATAGCCAAAATACATATAGTGAAGGATAGCTAAATTTGATGATGACAGCCTCTAATTTTAAAGGTTTTCTAATATAGCAAAACAAAGAGGAAATTTGCCAGTTAACGGATTTTGCAAAGAAATGTGAGAAAGCGGTAATAAATGAGGATGATATGAAAGAAGTTTTTCATTGTTATGACAATGCTTCTCAATCACGAATCAATTAATGAATGGAGAAATATGTAGTATGGTTCTAGATCCAGAAAATATCGCTACCGATAGTGACGAAAGGTGACAGATAAGTTACCGAAAATGAGAAAATTTTGACAAGTTAGTCGGAATCCTCGAAACAGCAATTACAAGACTTCAACAATGTAACTAAACAAAAGATTACCTCTGTCTACAGAATTAAAGAGAAGTATTAGGACACACAAAAAAAGGAAGTAACTTAAAACAACTTACATTGAAAGAAATGTTTAATAAGGTAAACAAATAAATATTAAGTTTTTTTTTTTTTTAAATTTTGATACCCTTTAGATCATAAATACTTCATTATTTCATAAATCGTGATTTAATATTTTTAATTTTATAATTTATACATGCTATCTTACTAGATTTAAACTGCTGATCTATTACAGTCAAATACCGAAAATCCGCTGATCTGAAATCTGCATTGCCTCTCAAAATATAAACATTCAGTTTATAGGTTCCGGAAACCATTGAGTACGAAATATCGAAGAAAAAATACTTATCAAATAATGACGTCATAATTACTGAAAAATAATGAGTCATAACGGAAATACCAAATTATTGACATCATGATAATTTTTTTTTTTTTTTTTCCCTCTAATCTGCATCGAGTTAAAAAAGCAGACGATTCACTCAACTCTTCTTTCAAGTTCACGATTCACGTTGTATTTTCTGAGCTTTGTTATTTCACGAGATTATTTTGTGCTGCCTTTATTTTTTATCCGGATATTTTGTGGATAAATTAATAATATTTTAAATTTCAGCCCTTTTTAATGCAATGGCAGATAAGAAACACACTCATTTTACTTCTTGCAACATTGAAAAATGTAAACACTTTGCATTGACGTTAATGCAAAAAAAGTGCAAATTCTGCAAAAGATGGAGGCAGGTTCCACTCTTCGGTTTATAGCAGAATCATATTGAATTGCGACACGATTGTGTATGATATTTGGAAAAATAAGGAAAAGCTGTTGAAATTTTCAGCAACAGTGGTTCTAATACCGGAATCCGAAACCAGAAATCTTCGCATGGGCGAAATTGGCAAACCTGGATGCTGTGTACATATAATACAATGAATAATATATTCAATTTATATGTGTAATAATAATTTAACACATATAATAAATTATTCCAATAATGCATATAATAATTTAATTAAATGTATCTAATACGCCGTTTTTTTTTTTTTTTTTTTTTGCACTTTGAGCCTGAATATTATGATTTATCTTTTCTGACCTGAAATCCGCAAAATCCGTGCAACCTCTGGTCCCAAGCTTTGTGGATTTCTGGACTTCTACTGTATCCGGAAAAATCCCGAGTCAGGATTTCAGACTTTGTTCTGTATTCAAATTTGGAAAACATAGCCTAAATATGATACTGATTTTGTCTAGAAAAGAGAGGTGATACTGAATGTTCTAATGAAATAGCATTACAACTTTTATAGTGAGCAGTTACACCATTGAAAAGATTATCGAAAAATATTTATGGTAGCAAATCCAACTTTTTACCAAACGTGGTTTTATAGTTGTTGCACACTTTGATAAAAAGGAAGTTTTTGTGTATTGTTAGTGTGACATTTTACAGTGTTAACATATTACTTCTAATATAGCATATAAAATGTTAGAGCAGATGTTTTAATATTTTGCTATAAAGATCTATTTTGTTATTTTTATCACTTTCTTCTTTTTCAACTGAGTGTAGTTATTTTCCTATGTAAATAATATATGTTTCAAGTTTTTTAAATATTTATTATTCCTGGACATCTTTCTGATCTTTTAATTCTATATAAAAGTATGGATTTTTGCTAACCCCTTAACTGCCGCAGATGTATATATATATATATACGCCTTGCTCAGCTGACGTGTTAACTGAGCGTTGCATTATACACCTTGCTCAGCTGACGTGTTAACTGAGCGTTGCGTTAGCCAATGCTAAAGAAGTACAGTCAAAAAACGCTAATTCGGACACCCATAATCCGGACCTCAAAGCTACAAACTTTCTGCGCATGCGTCGCGTTGACGCACACGCGTAAGACATTTACGGCTGCGAATATGCGTGTGTGCATGCGCATAATATTACACATGCCGTTTAAGTATAACGGACGGTATAAGCTAATAATTATCTAATTCATTAATGTTGAAGATGCATGTTCCTTAATCTTCGAATTGGATCCGACTTATTATTTTTTGCATACTGTTGGAGCAATTTTATAAAGTAAGCTTGAATTTTGATTAGTCAATAGAATTTCCGATATATTTACTAATATGGAAGGATATACAAACAAAAGTATGTTTCGAAGTCTTAAACAAAAGTGATTGCTGCCAAAAAAATGATAAGGCAACATTTTTTCTCAACACCAAATCTCTGTATCATTCAGCTGCTCTGGGCGCGGGGAGAAGGAGGGAATGCCGCGGCGCACAACATGAATTGTCTGTCAGGCTATCCGTATTCAGGCAGATATTTTTTTTTTATTAGCGTAAAATCTTACTAAATGTAGTCTTTTCATCCGACTTCTCTTTGATGATAAATTTAAATCCTCCTCTCGTCATCTATTTACTTTGCTTTCGATAGTGAAGAAGTGCAACAGAGGTTATAAAACAAAAATTTTCGATTGTTGTCGTTTCCTACACAAAACAATTATACTGAACACGGAACTTTGGTAACTGAAAAAATGTCTGTTTATAAATTAAAGAGAAGTTTATCACATAAATGAAGCAACTTAACAACTTACATTGAAAGAAATGTTTAATAAAGTAAACAAATAAATATTAACCTTTTTTTTGTAATTTTGATACCCTTTAGATCATAATTGTTCTTTATTTCATAATTAGGTTCCTATTTTTAATTTTATAATTTCTGCATGCCATCGTAGATTTAAACTATGATCTATATAATCCGGAAAACGATAATCCCAATCGCCGAAGTCCTACGAGGCCAGATTAATGACTTTTGACTGTACTATCATTTGCTTTGTGCTGCTACCTGTAAAATTACTCACAAAGTTTTGGAATGCAACATGACAGTGACCTTGACAGAGTGAGCGAAGGAGGATATTACAAGGTGGGACAGAGCAGTTTGCTCATTTTGAAATTCACTGAAAGAAAAAGTAATTCATGTATATATATTGAATTCTTTGAACGGCATCAAATACAATGTGTCAAATTTATGTTCATACTGTTTTAGTGATACTATCAGGCCATGGATCCCTTATGTCACACAACACCACTGCGTAATCAAAATCGAAATTCGTTCAAACTCTTTCGACGGCCCACACGATGGGTATGTGGCAATGTTCACTTTGCTTATTTAAAACTTGGCACCCTAGAGAATGGTTGCTTTGAAAAAGGTGGGGCGAGGCAAAGTCTAGAAAACCGGGCCGGCAAATTTTAGCATGTTGTTTCATTAGCATCATGGAGGGTCGAAGAAGAGGGGCGTTTCTGTTAAGCCATACATGTAATGATTACTCGATCATCGCCACACAACGTGCATTCGGTGCCCGTTTCAACATTGTTCCGCATGCTCATGTCGCAGTCATGTTTCATGGCGAAAAAATTTAGAATAAAACGGTCCCCTTGGTTTGAAATTTCACGAACAGCAGGCTCACCACAACACAACAGATCCCTGTCATACATAAAAAAACCGTGGCAATGGGGAGGAAGCGCCCTGTACTTTTCACCAGGCAGTTTAGGGTTTAATAAAATGAATAGACATGGTAAGGCTTTCTTTTTGCTACCGATATTCCTAAGCACTCTGCGCGGAACGTGGCTATGTGTTGGCCCGTTGCCCACTCAACTCCAGTCGGGCGCAAATCTCATGAAGAACTGAAATATATATATCCTAAAAATAGGCAAACGGAACTTAATCCACGTGACTTTACCCTTGATAACAGCATAATTCACGGGAAGCATTGCTTCTTGCAATTGCCCAATAACGATATTCCCTGCGCTCGGTTTTCTTCAGCTGCATGAGGACACACACCCTTCCATCTTTTCGGTAATTGCGCTAAAAAACTAAGCAGCCAACAGCCGAAACCCTTGGACCCTCAAAACCTAGACAACTTTATCAGCATCCCTACGTTAGAAACCAAAAAACGTGTAACTGGTCTCCGGGCACGTATCAAGGTTTTATGGAATATTGGGGCCATGGTTGTTTAAAGAAAACAAGTCTTATGCAGTTGGACTTTGATAGCTTATGTACCATGCACTTGAGGCAGTTCTTCTAACCACAAAAACTCATACGAGATGTGAAAGTGGGAGATGGATGCATTCTTCATCCGAGGACTCAGTGCATTCAATGCACATACGCTCATGTGTCAATGACTGTTTAGCCTGACCGTCAACAACACTTCACATTCCCAGCAAACCATCTCACTTTTTGCGAGCTGATTCTTGCATGGCCCAGCATTGTTATTTCGCACCAGGTTCTAGCCCCATGTGACGTCGCTTTTACTTATGTGGGGCATCTTAAAATCACTTGTTTACACAAAAATCCGTTCCTAAAACCAATGGCGACTTAATTTTGGCAACATTCGTCAAGCTATTGCCAAAATATCCATCGATGTGCTGGAAAGAGTTGAATGAAACTTCAGAGTGCAATTAACACTGAGTGGACATTAATGGATGCCATCTGCCTGATATTATCTTTAAAACAGTGTGAATATAAACTTTACATGTTGTACTTGACGCTGTTCAAAGAATTAAATATATATATATATGCATTACTTTTTCTTTTATTGAATTTCAAAATAAGCAAACTGCTCTGCCACACCCTGTATTTCAGAGAAGAGGGGAATGTTTCTACCTACCCTACATAGTAGCAAAAAAAGGATTCGAAAGGATATCAGACGAGGCAAGTTAAAGAACCGATTTGTTTACATTATGATCTCCCACAACAGCTGACACCAATGTTATGCAGAATGTGATCAAATTAAGGGTCAGGATCCTAAAACTGTGTTCAGTTCAAAAGTAATGGACATAGGATGCCATCTAGTGGTCTTTTAAAACATTCTAGGACACTCGAACAAAGATATTCAAACCAGGATATGATTGTTAAGACATGTGGCAAGCCGAGAGTGAACGAGAAAACGCTTTGGCATGCTAGTGTGCCAGCCAGGAAATGAATGCATTTCTTGCTGACTTGTAGACTTGATGTGTGGTAGTCCGCGTTAAAAAAAATTTGTCTGCCTCTGCAACAATTTTTCTTTGTATGATGTAATTTCCTTTTTATGAAACAGTTTCATATTCAATAAATCTTAATAAAAAATTCTTAAGGTGTAAGTGCATTTTAGTTATTTACCAATCCAGATGCATATAAAAATTAGGAAAAGGAAACTTAAACAAAATTCAAAGATGACCCGTACATGAAATTCAACTAATCTGCACAACCATTGGCTTTGAGGTAATCGGATCATTGGAATTAAGAATCGTATGCTGTTACTGTGATATTTTAATATTTCATATGCTTTTTAAGATCTCTGATAATAGTTTGAAATTTATTTTAAATTTTTTTAATGCTCATAATTAAAATTAAGTAGTAGTATGTTTTATTAATATATATATATATACACACACACACAAACTTACATGTATTATTGCAGTTTTAGATCTTCCTCCACCACCTCAAAGCTGGTTAAAGAAATTGCATTCTTCGTGTAGTTCTCCATCTACATCATCAAATCACCAGGCAGTAGTTAAAGAAGAAGCAGAAACAGATTCTGAAGAAAATACTGAAAAAGAATCTAGTGATCCTCATGTACCAGAAGACAGTGATCTTTTGTATAAAGAAGATGACAATTTAGAAGCTCCTGTGATTGATAGTTGTGCAGACATTATGGTGCCGCAAAATGATTACAATTGTGAACGTAGCCCTCCAACATTAAAAAGGATAGTGATAAAGCCTGAAAAACTTTCAGAAAGGGATTTGGAGGAACCATTAACTAGAAAACGATTTAAATTTAACAATATGTGTGTTAAACCAGAAACAGTGGGATGTGATTGGAGTCATGATGGTACACACAATAAATTAGTGAGTTCAAAACACAGTGATAAAGATAATGACTTGAAAACTAATCACAAGTACCTTCATGCCCCTTTGACTCGTGATTCATTTCACAGTGATAATAGGTTAGATGTTGATATGATGGCTAAAATGTTAAATATATCTCCCATGGAGATTGATGATGATATAGAAACGGTTGATTTTGAGCCTCCAAGTGGGACAAATGATTTGGCAGACTTTGAGCCACCTGTGGCAAGGACAGAAGAATCATGTAATTCAAATTTGTTATATAATAGTAATATAAGAACTAATTGTGAAGTAAAATATGACTTTGATATGTTGGGTTGTCCAGCGTGGGCAGATGATTACGTCCATCACCCGCCAAATGAATCAGATGTGAATGCTGACACCATTATGAGTGATCATGGTAATCCATCAGATTTAGATTTATCTGGTTTAGATGGACTTGAAGATCATTTAGAAGGGAGTCAGCATGGTATTCCAAATGGCATTCAAAATGATGATGATTCTGCAGTATCAGGCATGAGTTATATAGGGTATCGTATTCCTAAACATCAGAAAAGGTATACAGATATTGCAGCACAGTCTGCAAGCAACTGTTCAAACAATGAACAAGTTCAGAGTGCCATTAAAAGTATTACAGGAACGCATGCCGAAAACACCCGTCGTTCCTATTTCGGTGCTGATGATGTTGAATTTTTGCACTTAAACAAGCAGAGCCATAATGCGCACATCACAGACTATGGCGGGAATATAGATGCAGAAATGGGCGTAACTAGAGGTGAATCAGATGAGGTTTTGGATGAAGCGGTACGTAGTATATTACTATGAGATAGGTGGTTCCATTGTCATTTCTATAAGCTGCCTGCCCAACATCACTGTGCACTTATTTATTGTCATTGTTGGATTTGCCTGTTATATAAAGTTATATTAATTTCATTCTCATGTATAGTTTGTGATATAAAAGTTCATAATTACCCTTAATAGTTGTCATTGAAAAGTGAAATCTGAACTTAGGGCTGTTTAGCAATAATTTAAATATCACTTATAATGAGCAATATTGAAAGTCAATCTATAAATGTTTTTAAGGTTATAAGTAGAATAACTCAGTTTCTTTCCTGTTCATAATTGTATTTTTGAAATGTTTAAAAATTTATTTATTTTGTAATTTAAAAGATATTATTTGATGCTATAAATGTTTAAATATTTCATTAAGAGTTGTTTGCCAATGTGTAGTACAAAGGGAAAAGAGAAATATGTGGAGGTAATTGCTTGTCTTTCTGTTGATTATAATGTAATTAATTGCTCAAAACTAAAAGTACTTAATCTTGCTCATTTTTATCCTATGCAAAGTGTTTTTTTTTTTTTTTTTAAACATTAGTACATATTTGTCTGCTTAGAATGTTTAGGATTCCCTTCTAACATTATTTTTTTTTTCTTTTAATTTTATGTATCAGAGATGAAATTACGTGTTTTGAAGTTGGCGATAGTTTCCTTTTTCAAATAGTTCATGTTGTTTACATATTTAATATGCATGTGAAATTTTCATTTGTGATTTTTCTGTGATGTATGAACAAACGAACTGAAATGAATCATTTAATAATAATTTTATTATTTTTGACGTAAGCAATATAAATATATATATATTTGTATGCAAATGTAGATTTTAACAGGCTTACAGTTTTTAGAAAATTATTTACTGCTTGAAATGTAAAAACCAAATGTTAATTAAGGCCGTTATTTCTTTTGATGAATTGAAGATTATATATATCCCGAATAGCTTAATATGAATGCAAAATGAACTTTTCTCATTCCAATGAATAAAAAATATGTTTTCATTTGAGAAATCATCTAATTGCAGTTTATCCCTTCCCCTTAAAAAAGAAAAGAATATATACACTTTTGTGTTCCTCATAAGTTTATAAAATTAACTTTTTAGTTATCCGTGAAAATACATTCCATATTGTTATTACAGCAAGTATTGTGAATGTGGTAGAATATGATTTTTTGAGCTTATTGATTGCTAAATAATCTGTAATCTTATTTCCAAATTATCATTAATTTTATGTATGGTTTTAATAAGAAAGTGCCATTTAAATTTGAATAGCTGTAACATTCATACAATCAGTACAGCAGTTTTAATATAAATAGTGATGTTCAGCTTCATTAATTTCTGAATTTTTTTTTCCATCTATTAAAAGTAGCCATTACTATGCAAATATTTTATGCAAGTTGTTTGGTTAAAAAAGAAATCCGTGTATAGCTATGCAATACAGAATTTTATGGGATGCATTTTGTAAAATAATGATGGGGCTAATGTTTATTGGTCTCATTTAGCATTAAAATATGGTTATGGTCAGTGTTTGCAGTAAGTTGCTTGAAATCAAAATTTGACAAATTTCAAAACTGTAACTGACAATTCCTGCATGTTAAAAAAAAAAAAAGTCTTGCTCAAGTTTAATCTCTGTCACAGGCTTTTTAAGTTCATTTTTATGAATAAATACTGTGATGCTAAGTTACATTTGCATATATTAAATGACTTATTTTTAGGCATATTTATTACAGCTAATAAAAACTATCTATTTGAATAGTATTGAAAAATTTCTAAAAGTTATTGAAGAATTTTGTATGAAATGCTGTTCAGTTTTTTTCAAGTTTTTGCAGAATGGTGAATCAGCTAAACAATAAATGGTGGCTTTATTTTTAGTTTTCAACACATAATTAAATAACTTTAAATTTAATCTTGGGAGTTTCCACATAGCCATAATTGTATATTGTTGTGTACAATGTCAAGTGATATTAGTTCCTATAGTGATGTGTAAAATTGTTACTTGAGCATAGATGGTAAAATTTTATGGATCATTTGTTATGGCCTCCAACATTTATGTAGAAAAACAAATTATGATAATACTGAAATTGTTATATTAATTCTGTAGTGTAAACATGGATAAAACATCTTTTAAATATTTTTTGGAGGGAGACTTGCTAATTAAAAAGAACATTTATGCTAATAAAATGAAAAGCCATTGAAATTGTTATATTAATTCTGCAGTATAAATATGAATAAAACTTTGTATTTTGTGGGGAGGATATGTATTAATTATTTGAGGAAATATTTATGTTAAAAAATAAAAAAATTGCCCATAAATTTTTTGAAATAGTGTGATGTAGCCCCGTTCTTCAATAGACACTAAAATGCCGGCTAGCTCTAAAAGGATTTATTTACAGAGCACGCAGGAACGGTTACAAACAAAAAATATATGTACATAAAAATGAAATGTATACCAAATGGAACATCAAACATTAGAATTACAGGGATATCTAGTACATGGTAACCTATCATCATCGCGGCTGGAGGTCGACTGCTGTTTTTCCTCTTCGCCACTAGATGGCATTCAATAAAATAGTTCGGTAGCAGTTAAAATAGTTCTGTTACAATAGTAGATTTATGTGTTCATTTCAAATTAAAACATTCATGTCAATTCAGCTGAGTTTTTTTTAAATTCTAAACTTAAAATATTTTTTTGAGCTTTGCTTATGTAATGTGTAATGACTTTTCTTTAATTAACTTGCCGAATCTAAATAATTAGCTGTTTTAATTGCTAAACTTGAAATGTGTAAACAGGATTTCTCAACCAGGTGGGGGATTTCATAATTTCAGGGGCAAATGTGATAAGCTTTTTATTTACCGGGTTTTTTTTTTTTTTTTTTTTTTTAAGTTTATGGATATAAGGAATTAGTTTATTCAAGTTTTGATATTTTATTAACATTTTTCTATGCGTGTTTGATTTATAAAACACATAAAAAAATAAGCTAAATTTAAGTAAATGTATATGTATTTTCCAACTTTTGGAAAGGACAGGGAGATTGTTTAGCAGTGGTAAAAGTAGTGCTTGAGGCAAAAAGGTTGAGAGCCTCTTGTTTTAAAGCACTTTGTGTTTTCTTCTCTTCAAAAAGAAATAAAAGATTTCATTTCGGTGTCCGACATACTAAGTATATAAATGTTTTTAGGATCTGAAAAGTTAAAAAAAGGGTAGGGGTCATCAGGAATTGTTTGTTATGTATTATGTTTATTTATTTTAAAGAAGTGTGCCAGAAATGCTTATCAGACTGTTATGGAATTAATTGTAATTATCAGACTAGACCTAATTATTCAAATTTTATCATACAGCAAGCACTGACCTGTATTAAAATAGTGTTGTGAAGCAGGCAGCTTGACTATTTGCCTTTGAGTAAATTATTGTAGATGTTTTGGCAACTTTATTGGATGAGTGATGCCGTTGTGTTTCAAGCAGAAATAATAGTAATTTCCAAGACTTCTCCCTTCCCCTCATTTTCCATTCTGTAAAATAAAGAAAAATTATTTGTATATACATTGTCATGTTTTCTATAAAGTGCCTAATGGCTTAATGCAATTTTTACATGCATTAAAATTGGTAGTGTAAAAGAATTTGCCATTAATTTAAGAAGTTTCTAAAGTTTTTATAACTAAACAAAATTTACACTCAACAAAAATGAATTTTATAAAAAAAGAAACTTTTTTAATATTTGTGTATTACAAATGTTTGGTTTTTTATTATGGATATGAATTTCTGTATTAAGTCATTTTGAATTTTTTAGTTTAACTAAAAATTCAAGTTATTATCAGTTAGAGAGAATATCTGTGTACTATTTTAGTTCAGTATAAGATTATTTTCAAGAGACTGTGAAATTTCATCTAAGTACTTTACATTTGATTTCAGTATATTTTTTTATTAACAGTAAATATTTTATATTTCAAAATTTCATAAAATTTTTTTAACTAATGCTTTTGATGTATTTAAAAATTTAAAGTTTAATTTTAAGCTTATTTTTCTCATTTCTAAGACTTGTCAGAGAGCAGCTGTTTTTAGGAGATGATGTTCCTTAGTTAAAAAAAAAAAAAAAGCTGATTAAAATTGGTTGTGTAAAAGTCTTAGAAGTCTTTTACAGTCTCTTGTACTACTAATATATATATATATATGACACCAATCGATATATATATAGCTATATATATATCTATATATAAAAAGATAAATGTATATTTTACGTAAAGCACATTCTGACTGTGATGTAGTTGAGTGAAACTTGGAGGATAAATCACCAATGTTGTTAATAATCATCTGTGGTGCCACTTAACCGTCTTTCAGTTTAAGCAGCAGATGGTGATGCCATCCTCATGCTTCTTATATGGTTCCAAAAATAATGAAATAAGCAAGGGCATCACTTTGAGAATATGTATGTATGTATGTATTGTATGTATGTGATAAAGCTCAAATTGTAAGATTTGGTTTGTATGTCATTTCAAATTAATTGTAGCATCTCAGGGGTAGAAGTCATTACCTGAAGAGGCTGTACAGAATGATCTTTGAAATGCATTTTTCTACAAAAATGGTTGTACATATTTTATTAAACGTCCTGAGCTGTCAGCAAAACTACTACTTTGTGTGTTGTCTCTTTTTTTTTAATATATGTATAAAATCACTGAATGCACATCTTTGGTATCTTTCGACTAAACACTTCGAACCAAATTTGAAAATCAGTTGCATTTTGACTTTTGTTGATTTCAACCTAGAAGTAACAATTAATAAGAGAAGAATGGTAATTTTGTATACATTTTTACTCTTTTTCACTGATATGCCCAAAGCAATTTACTTTCCTACTCTTAACTATCTAATTTAGCAACAAATTCTTAGAGAATTAACTTTCTAATTCTCCAAGCCTGAAATAAACCGACATACCTTTGATCTCTTAATTGTTTATTTAATTTACAAATTTCTTGTTATTTTGGATGAAAATTATTAGTTAGCTTTTTTAAACATAGTAGAAAAATTAAAATTGTTGAATAAAACTGGCAATGGTGTTCATGAATAATTAAATCATTGTTAATTGGAGGGAAATTTAGGTGAAAGGAATAATCTATATTATAATTAATTGAAAAATATTATCAGCGGCTTTAACTAATTTAATTACCATAACCATAATGTATTCTCCATAATATGAGATCCTTCAGTAGCTGAGCAGTAATGTCTGAACATGGTTGCATAACTTATCTGCATATAATTCTAGGTGAATTGGCTAGCTGCAGTGGCGTTTACTTGGTCATTCCCATTTGTAACATAGGTATACAAGCCAGTTTCCTTTAATAAGTCCTTAAGGAATCCTTTCTCAGATAGCCATATTTTGCCTTTCCATGATTAGATAAATGAAATCATCTCCATTATATGAAGAATTTCCCCCCCCCTTCTGTATATATCTCTAGTTATTATCTATTGTCATTAATTAAAGCAATATTCAAAACAAAAGGAAAATAAAATCATTCAAAATCTAAAAATTAAGTTATAAATGGCATTAAAGAATAATACTTATAAGAAAACTTTAGTCATCACTGTATACAAACTAATGTAACAAATCAACTGCAAAACATTTTAGCAGTTCATCATTTGCTGATACTGCTGCTATCCCATACATTTTTCAATTCCTCTATTTAGCACTGGAGGTGCTATTAGTCTCAACTCACATTTTGTTTAAATTGCTTTCAAGTTGTTGCCACCTAATGTTATTACTAGGTATTATTTAAAAATAATTAAATAATGAAAAATCTATGTATGTATGTTTCTCACACTGTAAAAACAACAGCTCATAGAGCCATTAAATTTTACATACACATAGACCTCTAACCAAACATCTGGCATCTGAAAGGCCAAATTTTGAATTTATTTCATATTTTGTACAAATTTAATTAATTTTTTATACACAACCTCAGTGCTTTAAAAGTGAGTATTGGTAACACTGTTAAAATTGAAACATTTTATCTCTTTGTGTGAGACTGTTGCCATTCGAAAAAATGCACCTTTTTTATCTTTCAATTTTAATTTGCAAACTGCTATTCGAAAGCAATGCCAATGTCAGAAATAAAACACTTTTATACCAGCATGTTGGCTTTCAGTAAAACCTAAGGTATGTAATTTTCAATCTGAAAGGTTATTGAGTACCAAACTAAGCAATGAACACAGTTCTTAAAATTATTTTTTCTGCTCTTTAATATGATTGATGTAAATAATGCAGTAAAATCATGAGATGTTAAATATTTTTATGAAATTACACTAGCCAAACTCATTGAAATTATTAAATATTTTTTCTTTTTTATGATAACTATTTTAAGTGTCTGGCTGCACCAAACTTTAGTTTTTAAAAGATGCAATATAGCTAATTGAAAAAAAAAATGTATCGCAACACTTCACACTATCGGTAATTCTTAACATATGCTGTTTTTAAATACTTCTTGATTTTGATGTTGAATTTTATGTTCTGAAATTGCAAAGAAAGGGATATTTAATAAATAAATAAAGCTAAAAAACAAAAAATTGGTAGTAAAAAGACAAAATTGCTAAATTAAATTCATTTAACTAAGAAAACTGAGCAGTAATTTGATGAACTGAGAAAAGACTGAAAAAATATATGCCAACACTTCACATTGTATTGGTAGTTCTTTGTTGATTTTGTATTAGTACAGTAAAAATTCCATAATCCGGACCTCAAAGCGACAAACTTTTTTTTAATATGCTGTACGCATGTGCGTTTGGAGGATGTGTTTCCAGATACGTTAAAAAATGCTTGGCATAATTTACGGCCAACTACCATATTTCATGGTGAGGACGATGAAGATGATAGCCGCGAATTTGAAGGTTTTTTCGGACATTGCAAACTAAAGGTGAAATTTTCCAGTTATTGGATTTTGTGGAGAAGCGGTAATAAATGAAGATGATATAACAGAAGTTTTTCATTGCGACGACAATCCCCAATCGGCAATAAATTAACGGGCGGTGAAATACGTAGTATGGTTCTAGATCCAGAAAACACCGCTTCCGATAGTGAAGAAAGTAACAGAGGTTATTGAAAACGAAAAATTTCGATTGACAAGTTGGTATTCTCGACACAGCAATTACAGGACTTGAACAGTGGAACTTTATAACTGAACAAGAAATTATGTCTGTTTATAGAATTAAGAGAAAGTATTAGCACAAAAAACGAAGCAACTTAAACAACTTGCGTTGAAAAAATGTTTAATAAAGTAAACAAATAAATATTAAGCTTTTATTTTGTAAATTTTGATACCCAATTAGATCATAATTGCTCTTTATTTCATAAATTACGGTTTCATATTTTTATTTGTATAATTTCTCTGCATGCCATCTTACCAGATTTAAATTGATGATCTATAATCCGGAATCGCCGAAGTCCCGACGAGTTCTTATTACGGACTTTGTACTGTAGTTTGTGTAAAGAATAGATTGTTAACGATAATGCTGAAAGAAAAAAAAAAGTAGCATTAGCGGGAGCGAGTCTAAAAGTAGAATTGTAGACTGAATAGCAGATTTGTGACTTGTTCAGTGGGCATAAAGTCAATTCCAATCGATCACAAGACATTTTGGGTAATCGCCTTTACTAAGACCTAAGACACGCAAATTAAAAGAAACATGTTTAGGGAACACTGATGCCAACTAGACTGGAAAAACGGCTTTTTACAGTTGATGTGGCTGTGTTTACTTAAATAAATGATTCAATGAATGCGTAGACAACAGATGCACCTTCATTGGAAGTGCACGATGACGTTTAAGTACATATATCAGTTACAAATTCATCGGTTCGCGTTTCCCAATCACATTACCCGAGACTTGACGTTAAAAGGGACACATAGCTAGGTTACCATTTTCACTTACTACAAAGACTTGAACGCCAAACAGTAATCGATTATCGGCAGATTAGGATCACATGATCCTTCAGAAGCAGAACTTTCATCTGATTGGTTGATCTCTACCCAGGACAGAGCTCCAGCCAAGACATTTTCGTTGAGGTTTGAAATACACCCACACAGCCGCTACATAGTTTCCGCAACTAGGCGCGACTTCGCTTCCAGCGGGGCTCTTTTTTTTTCTTTTCTTTTCTTTTTCTAGGAATCCTTTCGTTTAAGCCAGTGCTACCAGAACTTCGTTTCTCAGAAAAGTCCCGTCTAGCAGAGACTGTTGCCATGTGTGATAACATCTTTGTGCTCATTGCATTGAATACGTCCATGCTTCATAGTCTAGCAGGCGATTAAATATTCAACTTGACAATTTTGTGTTACTTGTGTTTTTATCGTAAAAATACTAATCTGTCATATTTTAAAAGAGGGGCACAATGTCGAAAACAAATGTTAAGAAAAGAAAAACATACAATTTTAATACAGAATGGGAAGAACAGTTTTTCTTTAAATGGTGAATGGATAATGTGTGTGTTATATATGTCATGCAAAAGTGGCACTTCCAAAAAAAAAAAAAAAAAAAGGAACAATGAAAGGCATTTCAAAAGCATGCATGGAAGCTTTAATACAGATTTTCGATTAAAAAGCAAATTGCTTAAGCAAAAATTAAAAGAATTTAAATCGCAGTTAATCGAGGACAACAATAATTTATTTTATTAACCTCACTACTCTATCTAAGGCTGCATCAGTTGCGTCTTTTCGTGTGAATAATGTGTTAACAAAACATAAGAAACCTTTCGCAGAGGGAGAAACGTTTCTGGAAGACAGCGATTAATTATTTCATTCATTCAAGAACAAAAATGAAGTTATTTCAGCAATTAAAGATGTAAAACTTTCGCGTAGAACTGTCGCGTGCCATACAGAAATGATGAATTCTGATCTGGCTGATTTACCTGACCGTAAGGTATAACTAACTGTTATTTGCTTTTCCCTGCAATTTGACGAATTTTTGGACATGGATGATATTTCTTGACTTTGCATTTTTATAAGAATGGTTTTTAAGGATATGAGTGTAAAAGAAGAATTATTAACAATATTCTTTCTAAAGAAGAAAACACGAGGTAAAGATGTTTACTGTGCCTTAAAAATTCAGAGAGGAGAAAAAAATTTCAAGTTGTATCGATGACAACTGATGCAGCTCCATGAATGACTAGCACAGTCAATGGATTTTTGTCTGTATGTATCAGACACGATGACTTACCGCATTTCCTTTCTTATTACTGCATTATTCACCAACAAGCCTTCTGTTGTAAAATTCTAAATATGCGCCATGTCATGTGAATCTGCATGAAAACTGTAAACTCAATTCTGAGGAAGAAGAATGTTTCGGGCCCAACTACAACAAAACGAATCTAATTACGGGAGAATTGTTATATCATGCAGATGTTCGTTCTTTAAGTTATAAAGTATTTCTCCTGCTTTCATAGTGTGCCTTCATGGTGTAGTGGTTCTGCACATTGGGCCGGTATTCCAGAGGTCCGTGGTTCGATTCCCGGTGAAGGCGTTTGCTAATTTTTCATCCTGCCTGCTTCCAAAAAATACCTAATGTCTTTACAATGGCGCCCGAACTAAGAGGGTTGTGGATGATGATTCTCCGCACCCAGGATTTGTTGATTTGGTCCTCTAAAAACTCCAGTC